CGGAACCCAGCAGGTCGAGGCTGCGCTGGCCGGGAGCGGCCACTGCACTCCAGTCTGGGCCACAGAGTGAGACTCCAACTCAAAAACAAACAAACAAACAAAAACAAAGTGCTGTCTGTCTTCTTTAAGAAGGTCAAAGTTCTCAAATGGATGTGCTGCACAGGATGCCACGAAACATGGGAGGCCACCTGGGCAGGTTGGGGGTCAGCGGAGCAAGTCTGGGAGAGCCGTCAGTTGTTTTCAGAAGCCAGCAAGGGGCCAGGCATGGGCTCACGCCTGTCATTCCAGCACTTTGGGAGGCTGAGGCAAGAGGATTGCCTGAGCCCAGAGGTTGGAGACCAGCCAGGGTAACTTGGAGAGACCTCATCTCTACAGTAAATCAAAACATTAGTCGGGCATGGTGGCACATGCCTGTAGTTACAGTGACTTGGAAGGCTGAAGGGGAAGGATCACCTGAGCCCAGCAGGTTGTGACTGCAATGACTGTGAGCATGCCACTGCACACCAGCCTGGTTGACAGTGAGTCTCCGACTCATAAAAACAAAACAAAAAATTTGGCAAGGAGGGTAGACAACTCCTTGATGAATCAAGGTCATTACACCTTGATTAGTGACATGATGTCACAACATGTTAGTGGTGGGTTTTCCGCTGAGAGTATATTTAAACTCTCCTTGTCACCGTTCATGTTTGAGTACGAGCAAAGAAAATGCAGCTGAGAAGCTTGTCAGGCTCAGCTCAGTGATTTTGAGGTCAAGGTTTCCTAATATGGACATTGCTCAGTGAACTCTTTTCAGTTTAGAGAAATATCTGTTTCTACGGATATACTTCTGAGGTAAAGAACAGGAATTTGGCTGGGCGTGGTGGCTCATACCTATAATCCCAGCCCTTTGGGAAGCCAAGCCGGGAGGATCACTTGAGGCCAGGAGTTTGAGAGCAGCCTGGACACCACAAAATATTTAAAAATTAGCCAGAGATAGTGGTGTATGCCTGTAGTCCCAGGAGGTTGAGAGGCCAGGATTGAGTGATCCCAGGAGTTCCAGGCTGCTGTGAGCCATGGTCATGCCATTGCACTCTATGGTCTGGGTGACAGAGAGAGACCCTGTCTCTAAAAAAAATGAGTATAAGTAAATAAAGGAGAATTTAAGACTGAATCAGAACATGAATGTGAGTCTGGGTGTGAGCTTTCCTTTCCATACTCCTCAGCTGACTAAAGTCTGAAGAAAGTCACCTGTGACTCCTGAGGTGACGTGGCAGTGAGAACATCTGATGAGAAGGGTGGGTTTGTCTTGCCAGCCCTGTCACTGTCAGCCACAGACATGTCAAACGTTTGCACTTACCAGACATGACCTGTGTATTGGGTACATTCTGAGCAGGGTCAGAGTGAGAATAAGCTTGTTTTTCATCCTGGGGTGAGGCCAAGTATGCCGTGTAGTCCGTGTATTGGGTTAATTTCTGCGGAGTTCTCTTCTGATGGGGGTGATTTCTGCACTGTCTACACTGCCAGTGCCAGTCCCTGGCCGGTGCCAACCTGTGCCTGGCGCAGGGAAGCTCGATGCAGACACACACTGCAGCACAACCTGCCGCCAGCATTGAGTGTTCATGACATAGGCTTGCCAGGCTGTCGGATCCCTGTCTCAGACGTCCTAAGTCTTGGTGCTTGGCTGTGTGCATTTATGCCGTCTGTTCCTCCTGGAAAACTGGTGCTGACACCCAGGTTTCCCTTTGTGCCAACGAGCATGACGTCACAAGTCCCCGAGCTGAAATTGTATGTTCCGTGGCAGTGCGACCTGGAGACGGCGGCTGACAGGCAGCTGAACGCCCCTTTCCTTTCGTCCATTTTCTCGACTTGCTCTGGCAGTAGAGTTGGTTTCAGCCTTCAGTGCCTTTTGCCTAAACTAAGATAACAGCCTTGTCTAAAAGCAAAGTGTCTGCTTGTTTGTGATGTGCCATGGCCGCTTGTGTGAAGCCCCTGGCTGAGTGAGTGCTGTAAGACAGAACTGTACGTCACAGGTCCTGCCTGCAAGGAGCCTTGAGTGTCCTGAAGAAAGAAGAAACTGCTGGAAGGCATGCATGCTGTGTCACATATCGCTCCTTTGGGATGGGAAGTTTTGTGAGGGGGGAGCTTGGATGAGCCTGAAAGGGTATGAGTTGAGTTGGCGTCTGCAGAGACAGAGGGGTTCAGAAGAAAGCAGTAGAGATGGGGGGAGGGGGGCTGGAACGCGTTGGAAGGGTGGAGGGACTGAGAGACCCCACCTCCTCACCCCCTGTCAGGACAAGGGCCTGTGCCAGGCGCAGCTGGAGAGACCGCCAGGAAAGCTGGCGGGGACCCTGTGGCGGGACCTTGAAGTTCTGGGAAGCAGTGGGCGTGAACTTGACAGGTGACCGGAAGCTGCCAGCATCCCCGGCAGAGGAGGGCGTGCTATGGCACCCTGCGCTGGTCCCTGGTATGGACCCTGTGTCATCACCTGGAGCCGAACCCTGTGTACCAGGTTCTTGGTGCAGACCGTCTTCGCCGGGCTGGGCCTTCTGCATCCTGCTGACCCGGAGGCCAGGTCGCGCTCTGTTGTGGGGCTGCGCTGTGGGACGTTTAGCAGCCTCCCTGGCCTCTGCCCCCTGTGCCCGGGTTGTGACAACCACAGCTATCTTCGGATGCTGCCAGGCATGACCTGGGAAGGGCCTTTGTCCCTTTGAAAGCCCCTGTTGGAACACGCGCCTTGAGTCCCCTGGTGTCCTGGGCATCACTCGGCTCCTAGATGGGTGAATCCGGTCGTCCCCAGGCCGCGGGTCTGTTAGGAGTGCCTCGAGATTGGGTGCCAGGCCTGCGGCTGTTCTTTGGACTCAGGCATTTCCCGCGTGGAGGGGAAGGACTGTGCAAGGCGTGGCAGACCCCCATTGTCTGCCGCCGGCCGCGCTGAGGCTGTGTGAGCCGGCGAGGCCTTTCGCTGCATCCTCTGCCGCCTCATCTCGGAAACAGCCAGCGTTCCCTTCGAGGCTCTCTCCAGCTCTCGTTCTGTGTCCTCATTTCCAGTTGACCTCGGGGCTTTATGCTTCCCATGTTGAGAAGGTTAGCACAAGTTGGACGGGTGTGCATCCTCACCGACACGCTTGGCTGACGCATTGACAGAGAAAAGCGTGCGGCTCATGGCTTTGTTGTGCTGATATAGCATAATTTTTTTTTTGTAGATTATCTGAAGAATCTCAGAGAAGATGCTAGAGATTACAGAGACACTCAAGGTAAGGCTCGCAGATTGTAGACATCTTTCATTATGTTTATTTAGACCTAAAAGAACATATACTGATAATGAAACTCATAAGAAACTCTAGTCTTAAGACCTGAAGCCTTTTGTTGACTCTTTTTCAGGCCGATGAAAACAACCAGATGGTAACCCCCTCAGGTCCCTTCCCACTGTGGGAGTTTTCCTGTCCTCTTAATACATTCTGCTTCCTAAAAAAAAAAAAACAGAAGCAGAACAAGTGGCACAGTGGCACGGAGGGCGGCAGGACAGGTAGGGCCGGGCTGTGCCTGCCCCATGTGCCCGTCCCGCTGTGCCCAGCCCCTCCGTGCCCAGGGCATGTCCATGTCCAGTTTCTCTGACGTCCGCTTCTTCATCTTTCAAAAACAGGGACTGAGCCAGGTGATCTGCACGGTCATGTCAGGCTGTAAACTCGTGAAGCTGTGTCGTGACCGGCGACACACGAGGGACAGAGTGCAAGAAAGCATCTCCTCGTGGGCTCGTGACCGTGGAGCCTGTGCCCCACCGCCCTCCCCCTCTCCCCAGTGCTGCTCGCGGGAAGTGGCTCGTCACAGCACCAGGGACTTGTAGACATGGGCCGGCGGGAGCTGCTGTCTGTCGCTCTGTCTCCGTCTCTCACAGACACACTTGCACACAGGATTCATCCTGTTTCGGTGTTTCTTTCTGTTTCTCTCCAAATGCCCTTTTTCCAGAGACACAGGCACCCCTGATTCTAACTGCAGAGAAACATTCAGAGGTCCATGTCTGCCCCATTAAGTTTATGAATTTTGATCGCTGTTTTTCTTTTTTTTTTTTCTTTTTGAGTTGAAGAGTCTCACTCTGTGGCCCAGACTAGAGTGCAGTGTCACGATCACGGCTCACTGCAACCTCAACCTCCTGGGCTCAGGTGATCCTCCCACCTCAGCCTCCTGAGTCGCTGGGACTACAGATGAACATCGCCATGCCTGGCTGATTTTCTCATTTTTTTAAAGATAAAATCTCGCTCTGTTGCCCAGGCTGATCTTGTACTCCTGGGCTCAAGCGGTCCTCGCACTGTAGCCTCTCAAAGTGCTAGAATGACTGGTGTGAGCTGCATGCCTGGCCTTGATCACATTCTTATGCTTTCCTCACGTTCCAGAGTAAGAAGTTGAATAGGTTTTTAGCCCATTTTGCAGAGATTCTTTTTTTTTCTTTGAGTCAGAGTTTCACTCTGTTGCCCAGGCTGCCTCGAGCTGCTGGGCTCAGGTGATCCTTCCCCCTCAGCCTTCCAAGTAGCTGTTACTGCGGGCATATGCCACCACGCCCAGCTAATTTTTTGATTTATTGTAGAGACAGGGTTTTGCCACATTGTCCAGGCTGTTTCTGAACTCGTGGGCTCAGGCAGTCCTCTTGCCCCCACCTCCCAAAGTGTTGGGATTACAGGTGTGAGCCACCGTAGGAGAATTTCTCAATGCAGCTTTTTGGGATAATCCTCCTAGTCAAGGAGAACCTGTATTCTAATTCCTCAGCATCAAAACAGGCATGCCCAAACCAACCGCTTCTAGATCTATTAGTTTCTTCCCCCTTTTTTGAGTTGGAGTCTCACTCTGCCACCCAGGCTCACAGCCACTGCAGCCTCAACCCACCTCAGCCTTCCAAGAAGTTGGAACCACAGGCATGCGCCACCACACCCAGCTAATTTTTCTTGATTTATTATAGAGACCGAGGTCTCGCCATGTTGCCCAGGCTGGTCTCGAACCTGTGGGCTCAGGCACTCCTCTTGCCTCCACCTCCAAAAGTGCTGAGATTACAGATGTGAGCCACCGTGCCTGGCTTTCGTAGAGATGTTTGTTCATTCTCTGAATCGTTTTGCTCCCTTCTCTAACGTCTTCTACTCGCAAGTGTTATGCCTTAAAGGAAAGGCTTGGGGTGGCGGGGGTGGTGTGTTTGCTGTCTTCTGTGAGCATGGCATCTAGTTGATGAAAAATCTTGTAATACCTGTCAGTGAAAGGCAAGGTGGACGGCTTCTAAATCAGGGTTCCTCGAGTGGATTAGGTCACGGGGAAGAGGGAGAGAGTGAGGGCTGAAGAGGCAGAAGGTGTGACTGGGGGAGGTGGGGCCGGAGGGGGCGCAAAGGGAAGGGCTCCGGGCCAGAAGCCTCATGGGGCGTGGGAAGGGGCAGGGACTCCAGGCACGAGCCCTCATGGGGACAGAAACCGGTGGAGGCTGGTGACCAGAGCGCAGCCTCTGCCCCAGTCGGGCTTCTGCATCAGGGAAAGTGCGTCCCTCGCTTTGTTCTACAGGTGCAGCAAATACAGGCCAGAGCGTAAGGAGCTTCCTGAAGGGAGAAGGCCCGCTCTGCCAGGATGCAGGTGGAGGGAGCAGGCGAGGCCCACTGCCTGGCCGGAGGGAAGGAGGCCGGTCTCCTTGGACGGTGGCAGAGAGCCCGACCCGGGTGGGAGGGTCCCTCCGGGTGCCCCGGGGAGAGAGCGCGGGACTGGTTGCAGAAGGCAGGCTGGAGGCAGGGGACACAGTGGTGGCCCTGCCCTTCCTCGATCCCTGGGTAGCGGCAGACTTGAGCTTTGTCTCCCGCCCACTGTGGCTCCCACAGACCAGAAGGCATGAACGGCGTGCACGGTAACCTCTGGGATACCTGCCGAGAAGGGGCAAAGGTGCGGGACGCTTGGATGGATCACTGGGGCAGAAATTCTGCTCCTTTATTTATTTTTTTAATTAATTTACTTTTTTTGAGTTGGAGTCTCACTCTGTCGCCCAGGCTGGAGGGCAGTGGCACCCTCCCAGCCACTGCAGCCTCGACCTGCTGGGCTCAGGCGATCCATCCGCCTCAGTCTTCCAAGCAGCTATCTGCTCCTTTAATAATGGCGATTACACTACACGTTGCTACTCAGACACCAGGCTTGGCACTAGAGGGAGTCTCTTAGGAGGTTGCAGTGGCTGGACCAGGATACCTCGGCCCCTTTGCACAGACTGACCTGTTCTTGACAGTCCTTTCTCCTGTGACCGCGGTCACTGCCACGGCAGCCTCAGGCGAATGTGCTGCCCTCTCGTGTGCGCGGTTTCCTGTGGGCACACTGCTGTCCTGTAGGCAGTATGCTCTTTCCCGCGTGGCTTCCAAGGAGTCTCGAAGCGCACTTGGCACCCCTGCTGCTCTGCGCTAAGGGCAGCAGGTCTTGCCCACCGTTGGGACACCAGAAATTGCCTTTACCTGTGCCTGGGGCACTCCCGCCTTGGGTTGAGGACAGCTGCCGCCCAGGGCAGACTACCTGGTTAGCGGTGCCAGAAGCGTGTTGCAGAGGGCAGGGGACTCACCATAGGAAGAAAGCACAGTCCGTGGATCCCAGGCTCCAGGAAGCCGCCTGCGGGCTCCACAGAGCATTTCTCCCTGGTCCAACTCCTGCCTCTTGCGGTCGAGGAGCCGGAGCCCTGGCCCCAGCGGCCATTTCCCAAGCTCTTCTTCCCTGTGTCAGGATCCCTTGTCCCTCCTGGGCTTTCTTGCCCACAACGGGTTCCCTGGGCCGGTCCTTCCTTCCAGGGGGCATCCTGTCCTTACCCTGCATGCCTCAACAGGTGATCACATCCCAGCACATGGCAGCCCTGATGCTCTGTACCGCTGACTCTTGTCTGCAGTCTGTTCGGGGCCTCTGCTTGGCTGGTCTCCCCTGCGCGCTGTTTCTGACCGTTTTCCATGGTTTTGCCCTCACTGAGCCTCGTGCTGTGCCTCTCGCGGTCGCCTGGACCCCCCAAAGGTGGCTGCTGCAAACTAGCTGTTTTGCCACCTGGAATGGCTTCATTGCTTCTGTGTGTTTTCGTGGTAGTGATCAGATGCACCTTCTGTCTCTGTGTGTTTTAGATGCTCTTGCTGTTGTTGTAGAGGTCGCCAACCATGCCAACGACACCATGAAGCAGGGGGTGAGTATCCGACGTCAGGGGCTGTGTGCTCCTGACCGCGAGCCGGCCTTCACGCACCCTGCGTTGTCTCTGCAGGACAACTTCCAGAAGCTCATGCAGATTCAGTGCAGCTTGAATGGACACCATGAAATCGTGCAGCCTGGACGGGTGGGTGTTCCAGACTGCCTTTTGCCGATTCAGTGCCGCGCAGTGAGGTCGCGCTCACACCTGGAGTCATTTCAGTTACAGAAAGAGGTTGTCATCGTTACCCTTCACCCATCCCCTCTCAGTTACTGTATCCATGCAAGCGTTTGTGACGTGAGTCACTGTGATGGTTCAGTTGGGAGTAAGGTCACTCATGACGCAGGAGGCCGCAGGGGCCTCCGCAGAGTGTCTGACGTGATGGAATCATTTTAGAGCGTAATCCTCCCGACCTCACGCAGCTCCGAAGATAGCTTCATCCAAGCGGCTCTTGGAAGGGGGATGCGAGGTGTGGGAGGGAAGCAGAATCTGTGCTCCCTTGATCACGAGGTGACTTGGAGATAAGTCCTGGAAAACGGCAAGGTGTCGGGGTACGGATGGGCCTCGGGCCAAGGATACGCCCGGTCACGGCCCCCCCACAGCGCCCCGAGGCCTGCTCTGGGTGTCTGCAGCACCACTGGCCCGTCCAGTCCTTAAGTGACTCGCAGGGTTGAAAACGAACTCGGACTGTGAAAGTTGCAAGGAGACTGTCTGCCCAGCCCCTCACAAAACAATTTGGGGCGTTGCAAGTGCAGTTCTATGTATGTTGTCATTGTGCGTGATGGGGGACTAAACGGGTGTGTGTTTGGATGAATCAGGTGTTTCTCAAAGAGGGGACGCTGATGAAGCTTTCTCGGAAGGTGATGCAGCCCCGGATGTTCTTCCTGGTAAGAGGCCACCTGCAGTTCTGACATGTCCGAGGCAGGGAGGACACTTAATGAAAGGAGACGCTTGTAGGCGGCAAGTGCGCCAAGCACCTTCAGGTGTCAACTTTTGGTGGCAGCTCTGCCTGTGGTGCTGTTTATTTGCATTTCAAGTGTGGGAAATAAAGTCTTTTGTGATGCATAATCGGAAAATTATTTCCTTTAGGAATTTAGCTTATTTCATTCCTAACTTGGAAGAATTATTTTAGTTATGTATTTAGGCAGACGAATATCTTAGTGGGGCTTAAATTCAGAAAACTTTGCATCTGTGCAGAAAAGGAAGCATGACATTTTCTTTGAGTCAGAGTCTCACTTTCACCCAGGCTGGAGAGCCATGGCACTCTCATGACCACCGCAGCCTTGACCTGCTGGGCTCAGGCGATCCTTCCACCTCAGCCTTCCAAGTAGCTGGAACTACTGGAACTACTGCACTGCCAGCTCATTTTTTCTCCTTTTTACTTGTAGGGACACCGTCTTGCCAGTTGCCCTGGCTGGTCTCGAATCCCTGGGTTCAGGCAGTCCTCTTGTCTCTGCCTCCCAAAGTGTTGGGATGACAGGCGTGAGCCACCACACCTGGCTTTCAGTGACCTCCTATGGAACATGCTAGGTGGTTCGAGTGTATGTAGCAGAAGATAAGGGCTGATTCAGAGAGCTGCTAACGAAGGCAGTGTTTTTTCTCTGTTCTTGTATCTCGTCAGTATCTTTGTAGCTGGAACCTACTTCCTCACTTTGTCCCGTGGGCTGTTTCTGCTTTCAGTTCAATGACGCCTTGCTGTACACGACACCCGTGCCGTCTGGGATGTATAAGCTGAACAACATGCTGTCCCTGGCTGGAATGAAGGTCTGTGCAGTTGTTAGGAGTCGGTTTGAAACTCAAAGGTACAAAGTTACACGCTGAGAGCAAAG